TCTTCAGTTTTGTAGGCACAAATATTAGGAACGTATCGAAACCGCCACAAAATCTAATATTACTTTGTCTAAATACGGAAATCTTGCGAAGGCTACCGATTGCAAAGGCTCGCGTGATCGAAGTCGTTCCGATTTCGATGCGGCAACATACGGGTTAATAAAGGCACTGCCGACAACACAAATAAAGCATCTTATGTAGTTGTATTAAGTACTATTTTCCAACGAAAATGTATGGCCTGATGTGCTGACTGTACACGTAATAAGCACCTTCGACCGGGTCATAGTTCGCCGCTCTCTTGATGGACCGGAGTTTGGCACCTTCGGAAGCTATCGATTTATTGTAGCTGTGCACTGGTTGAATAGACAACCCTAATATTGGTTAATGGGGTCTCGAAGGCCCCAATTTGAACAAAGAATCCAGTATCTGACCGCACTATTTTTCTAAATATATATAATTCAAAGGTGACTGACTGACTGACTGACATAGTCATCTATCAACGCACAGCCCAAACCACTGGACGGATCGGGCTGAAATTTGGCATGCAGGTGGATGTTATGACGTAGGCATCCGCTAATTAAGGATTTTACGAAACTTCTCCCCTAAGGGGGTAAAACGGGATCCACGCGTACGAAGTCGCGGGCGGCCGCTAGTTAATAATAATATTAAGCGCGTATATTACAGCAAACTAAAAAGTTTTTCGTGATTGTTAACTTCAATCCAACTTTGAAATATCATTTATCTTGATAATAAAACTTATTTTATTCCGGTTTCAAATAAATAAATCTTGTTATTAAAAATAAACAAAGGCGAAGGAGGTTATTGATTCGATTCTATGTTTCTTGTAAAGTTCATTAAAAATCGTACTCAATATGAAATATATTGTAAACACTTGAGACGTCTTAATTATTTAGATGAATAAAATTTGAATAACTCTCAGAACCTCTTAAAGAATGTTACGAGTGCCTTAAATTAAATATCAAATTCAGAAACATCGTTAGTAATCAAATAATAATAACTAAAGGTTTAATACCAACAGTAATTACAGGTCGAAACTATTGAAGTCTTGAATATCAATTGCTTTCACGTTTACAACAGTTTCGGGAAGTTTAAACCAATAATCCCCGTATCGTTAAGGTATTTCAAGATCAAAATGTAACTAACTGGGGTTCCGAAGTTGTTTTGATGAACAGAGTTCGGTGTAGTTTATGAATTTGTAACTTAATACTCACTCTTTTGGTATTACAACGGCACGTGAAGCTTATTACTGGGGCATCCTCTGTAATACTGATAGGTGTTATTTTGCAACGAAAATGAATACAAGAACGAAAATGAATGTAATCAAAAATATTGTCTTAAATAAACAGCTTGAAAAAATCGAACTGTCTAAGGCGGGAATCGAACCCACAACCTTGCGCTTGCCGGGCGACTGCTCTTTCAACTGAGCTACTTAGACACTGGGTTCGATTCCCGCCTTAGGCAGTTCGATTTCTTCAAGTTGTTTATTTAAAATTTAGTTTGAGAAGCGACTCTAAATTGCTAAAAAAATTTATAACAAAAATATTGGTACCTACGAAAATTCTCTAACTAACACCTTAGGCCCCTTTCCACGGTGATCCAGCTTTGCGGGATCTCTGAAACTGGACTGACGTGAGAACACATGTCTTTTTTTACAAGCTTTATATTGACTTCACTTGTTAGTATGTGTAGGACAAATCTTGCAACTGAATTTAAGACCAGTTCTCCTCAACCGATTGAGCTGATATACTTATGTAAGTACGATGACAATGCAATATTATGGTACCATTGAGCTGGTCTGATGATGGAGTCGGGAGGTGGCCATAGGAACTCCTAAACAAAACGGCGGAAACTCATCGAATTTGGGTTCGTTGGATTTGTCTTTTCGAGCACTTTAGTGTTAGATAATGTTCAGGGTCCTGAGATTAAGATATAACTAAAAAGTGTAAAATAAAATTATAATAAAAATAAACTTTTTTAAAAACAAGCTTGTATTCGGAATCTCGAAAGCTTGTAGCGCAAACAGAGAAAAAGAGGAATAAATTCCATGCGCGATACAAACTTTCGAGATTCAGAATAAAAGCTTGTTTTTAAAAAAGTTTATTTTTATTATAATTTTTTGAAATTCGAATTCCAAATTCAAACGTACGGTTTTTTGCAGAACATTCCAAACAGGATTTTCGTGTGGATATTAATACGTGTTATACCTATCCCGTTTAGTAGTATTACTAGCCCTATTAAGTTAAATTACCAAGTTATTTGTACGCCGATATGTTAAAATATTTATGAGAACTTTCAAGGTAAAACATCTTTGATGTCGACTAGATTAGAAGCCATTGAACGACAAGCCTTGATAAAGTTTAGCCTACAAACTAATTAATATTAGGATCTCAATTGAAAAATACCTGAATATTAATTTCCGTATTTCATTACCTTATAATGGACGGGCAATTAATGAAAAGTTGGATGTTAAAACTTCAATAGAATTAAATAACTAAAACGTTGATCATCATCATCATCATTTCAGTCTTAGGACGTCAACAATGGTCGGTCGGTGCCGGCCTGTATCTACTATGTATGATAGCAAAATTTAATTGAAAGATCAGTCAGTATAAGATAAAAAAAATCATATACCTAACGAAGATTACGTTACCTTTTTGGAAATGTCGTATATCTTATCCAATTTAATGGATAAATTTTGATGAAGTTTTAAATAATAATAAACTATTTATAAATCGCTATCGTTTAAATTCAGTTTACAAGTGGCATGATCTACGTCAAATTGGCATAAAATCCTAATCAAAGGATCAACTAATTCAAGTAGCAAAACCATACTCCGTTTCCACTCCCAAGTTCCTGCGACCTGTAAAAGCCCACTTGATTGCTCGTGGTCGGGACAGGCAACAATTTGACCTATTTCTCCGTATATTGTATATTTTATGTTCCTTTCTAGTGGTGGTGAAATCAGGAAGAAGTTCACAATAGTGGCGCCGTGAATGGCGATGCTTACGAACCTTTTGTCGGCAGGATTGAGTTTGTGCTTGTTTCATTTGCTTCAGGTATGGTTAGGTGGATTCGCTTTTGGAATGTTTGGCGGTTTTTGGGTTCTTATAATGTTTGCCACACTTTTCTTTTCTGAAACTTTTTTATGCAGAACAAGGCAGGTATTTAACCGCAATCGCACTTGACGTTAAGTAAGATGCAGTCTACTTTTGATATGCACAGTTGCGGGTTCAATGTCAGTTTAAATTTCGCCTGGAACAAACTTGACCTACATTGGTTGGGTTTTTACTTATTGGCGATCAAGCTGTATAGAGAGATCCTGGCTAAACAAGAGCTGAACCGGTGGTAACGAAAGGTGCTAACAGTCCCGTAGATGTATAGTTGCAAATGTACAAAATGAAAAGAAATTGAGCTCGATAGAGTTGCCCTAAGCCTAAGCTAACTGCCTGCGCTAGTAAGAATCCAAAAAAGAATTGATTTAACCAGGTCTTGCGTCTTAAAACAAAACTCCTGGTAATACAAACCCATTCAATCAAGGCTACGTATATAATATCCAGGAACATTAGCTTTATGATCGCATATTCATCATAAGTATAAAGTGGCACAGCGTCCCAATTAAGTCCGAGATAAATGCTGGCTCTAAATCGAGACGTTCGGCCATCCGACTCATCCTCCAAGGTTCATCAAACAGAAGTCCGTGGGTGGATGTCAAAACGGTTTATACAGTCAGCAAAAAGTAGACATCACAACCTCATCCCATTATTACAGACGTGTTGCGAACTTAATTATTTGACGATAGCTGTAAAGATACCATGCATCATCGTGGTCCTATGGCAAGGTACATAAACTCTCTTGACTTGAAGATTTTGGCTTGTATTTCCAGGTTGTACCACAAAATGTTCGAGGAACTAGAATTTTTTGAATTTGAAGATACTGCTTCATGTTATTTCACTTATTGCCTAAAATATTAATTACTACATAACACGAAAGAACCAGTTCTAATTCATATTTTAAAACTAAATAATACAACAAAAAATTAACGAACCTAAAAGATCCAGTTCATAGAATTCATTTTAAAAATAGTCGACAAGAGTCGGGCGGTTAAAATGAAAATAGGAAAAGCTTAACGAGGAGACTTTAGAAAATTACGCTTAGGGAATTCAAGTACGGAACCCGCGGTCAAGCCAGCTCGCCGCACTTCACCGGTTTTTTCATTAAGTTACTCCCGTAATGAATAAATGTATTACACCGGGGATTCCTTCTCTTCACTTTTTCGCCCTTACTTTATAATATAAACCTTAGAAAAGTGTCTTATGCTCCCAGTTATTTTCTTGTCAAGGGTGTAATAAATTTTATTTAACGTTCCTTTTCGGATAAGTTCTATGCAAATGGTCCATCTGTGAATCGTATTATGAAGTGGATAGAGATCAGAATTTATTTCATTTCCGCACACTAATGGGCTAATTTGATATTTTCTATTACATCCCTAATGGTGTCTGTTGAAGGCCTAATTTACAGGCTGTAAACGACTAAAGGTTTTGACATTTTAAGAGTAGGCGCACACCGTTGATTTTTCGTCGGCCGATAGTTTATTCGGGTAGTTGATCAGTATGGGCATATATGGGAGTGCGCACACTACGCCGATTCGATTTGGCCGATTCTTCATACAATTTAAAATCGGGCACAACTATCGGCCAACTAAAAATCAACGGTGTGCGCGCCTACTAAATGTGTATTGTTTTGTGCTACTAATCTTTGAGGTGAGATGAGGGTCGCGGGAGGTGCATGGATGCGAGCGGCGCAGGACCGGTCTTTGTGGAAATCCTTGGGGGAGGCCTTTGTCCAGCAGTGGACGTCTTTCGGCTGAAACGAACGAACGAACTAATATCGGAACTAATGACGTCAGATACTTTATTTTGCACAAATATTGAGAATATCACGTCCAATTCAGCATAAAACACGATACGCTACATTTTGTTAGATGCTATATCAAGGTAAATAAATATACGCGGCATTTAATGTAGGGGTCGGGAGCTCGATGTTATTTTGCAACTATAATATGCCTTAATAAGGAGTCAAACATAGACAACAAGAGAGTTTATATACCTACTTTTTATTGTTTCAGTTTCAACAGTCGACGTGGACGCAGTTCTTGGGCGGACGGCATCGCTGCCTTGTGACGTCACGCCCGACGCGACCGAGGACCGGGTCTACATGGTGCTATGGTTCAGGAAGAGTGGGGGCAAACCTATTTACAGGTATGTAGCTATAGCTCAAAAACCTTTTTGAACCTTTTTAAATGTGATACTATTATACCAGCACTAGTATCTACTTTTTGCCTTTTCGAAGAAAGTCAAGAAAGAAATGATAGATGGTTTCCTTTTTCAAAGACTCTAAAAGTACTTAAGATCTAGGTTTCTAAAGCTCATGACATGCTTTAACGCCCTGATAGGTCCTACACGCAGCGTTTTATAACGCGTATGAATAGGCTAGGAATATTGACTTGAGGTCTGTTCAGATATTTCACACTAAGATAACATAACATACCTAGTTTTTTTTATTTTCACTTCTGATTTCTATATTTGTTTTACAAATTGTCTAGCTAGGCTTTAACTAAATATTTATAAATGCTGTTTATTACCTTATAAAACTTATAATATTCCTTATCGGCAAAAACAACACCAACGAAGTTGCTTCCACAGCCGTTCCCATCCATTTACCGTCGTTCCTCAGCTTCTTAAAACGTGAATGCGTATCTAATTAACAGTTTAAGTCGTACCTAATGAACTGTTCGGCGCCTTAAACGGATCAGCAGAAGCCGAGTCAATCCAATTAGACGCAGACGGGACCTACAACGAAACACACTTAAGACGCCGCGCGGCTCGTTAAGGAAATCGCACTTGACGATTTGGTCCCAATGCCCAGGTGATATAGTGGGGGGTTAACCTTGAATAGCTGGTGAGTTGACCGATTTTGAGTGACCCTTGGAGATTTCTGGGTCTACACTTTGCTCCTTCTTATTGACTGGTGAAAATTTGGCTTTGCTCGCGTTATACTTAGAAACTCTTAACGCTGCACGGTTTTTAAAATAAATTAGGTACATTTGACGATTTGATCCCAATACCCAGGTGAAACAGTGGGGGGTTAAGGTCTTAATTTATGAAGAAGTGACCTATTTGGACTGACCGATGGAGATTTCTTTATCTTCATTTCGGTCCCTTTTTTATAGCTAGCTCGCACTAGCTTTTGTAAAAATTTCAAATTGAAAATGTGAATTTTTGAAAATTATTTCTTAGAGGTCGTCGTCCTACGTCATAATAACTGACTACACGTTCTAATACCCGATCCTTTCAATGGTTTGATCTGCATAGTGATAGATTCATTAGGTCAGTCACTAACAGTGGGATAAACTCATTCATTCATTTTGGTCCTTCGTTCATTAATATTCTGTATACCACCTACTTCCGTACTGAATTTTTAAGTTAAATTATTTCCGGGTTCAAGTCCAACTCATAAAATACATAGATAGTCGCTTCTTAGTACGATTGTTAATTAAGTATTAATTACTCGTATCGTATCAATTAAGTTAAAGGAATTGAGTGCCTACAAAAAATGCCGTGTCCCTTAAACTTTTTTATTATTCCCTTTGAAGGCCATGCTTGAAAGCCCTTGCTCTATTTAATAATTCTTACAAGGAAAGCGGCACATCCTAGGGTGAAAAGCCAGCTTTTTATTTTTCTTTTGCTGTGCTACTTTAGTTGTAGTTTACTGAAAGCGACAGTATTCTTTATTTCAAATACCTACTTCATTTTACTGCTGAACATAGGCCTCCCCCAATGATTTCCACAGTGACCGATTAGTAGCGGCTTGCGTCCAGCGCCTTCCTACTTTTATGAGGTCACCACCTTGTGGGTGGACGTCCTACGATTCTGTTTAGTTATTTAAATGTTACTCTGAAAAACCAGTAAATCGCTTAGAACATAAAAAAATATTCCTGAATAGATTAGCCTATAAAAGTGCGGCTGATTTCTTTGAGCTATGCTAGCTACTAGACATTTACCTTTAAGATGAAAGAGCCGTAACGTCTGCTGTCGTCGAAGATAAATTAAACGTTATTTTGTTAAAAGCGCAAATATTATAGCTGCCACTTAGCCAGGATTTGCACCTGCTTTTTTCTGTTGATTAATTTTTCAAAACCAACAGGTCTGTGCAAACCAGCCAGCCCTATTATGTTTGAGCGGGAAGAAAGAAAAACAAAAATGGCGTAAATTTTTTCATCGAACGTGACGGTGACGCGGTGAAAATGACCTGTACCTCTAGTAGGAAAAACTTTCGAGTTCGTTTCGTTGCGTATTCAAAGTGTCATCGAAAAATTTTGTATGAAAAATTAAACAGCGCCCCCTATATTATAGCCGCCCTAGGGGGCGCTGTTTAATTTTTCATACAAAATTTTTCGATGACACTTTGAATACGCAACGAAACGAACTCGAAAGTTTTTCGTACTAGAGGTACTGAGTAGCAAAGAGGTCCAAATTCATTTTACGAAAAAAAAAACTTAATAATTTTCTCAAGAAAAACTTTGCATGGTCCAAAATTAGTTTCAGCTTGCTTTTAGAGACGCGTTTCTCACCATAATTTCAGAGAGAGCGCGGCGCTATCGGTATAACTGGGGTTAAAACAGATTAGTTTCAGCATTACGCAACTATCTAACGATCTACAGTGTAAAATCTACACCTTCCTAGTATTTCTCACTAATTCTTATAAATGGATACTTACTTCTATTCAACAATACACTGTGTGCCTACCATGAGTTTACGTTAGGTGTGCTCGCTAGCGACTGCGTAAAAAAATGACATTTAAATGTATGACATATTGTGCAGCGCCCCTAGCGGCAACTTTCAAGAAATAAAATCTTCATAGAATTTTTTGACGTATTCGCTAGCGAGCTCACCTAACGTAAACTCATGGTAGGCACACTGATGATAATAATATTCTATGCAATATCGCTGAGTTTATCTGGTAAAACTCGACGTAGTTTCCCAAGATAATTCTCAAACTCACCTTCGTCGAAGAATCAGAATCAACTTTGAAGCTGTATTAAGATGGAAGACGGTAAATTGAGAAAAATGCTGGCCAGTGCGGAAATTGAAAAAGTTCGGTGACATTTTTTTAATTCTAGCATTTTATAGGTATTTTTTGGGGAAAATCAAATAGACTATGGGAAGAAACGATTTAAAATAAAGCTATGTGTCAGCATCGGGGTTTTATCTGGGATTTTAAAATATAGGTAGGTATACGGAAGGATAACAAGGAAAAGGTTTTTATAGTGATCTCGACTTGTCTAAGTAATTAGTAGAAATTCAAATTTTGTTTTGCAGCACGTTTGCCTTCCATGTAAAAATTAATTAAGGCTGAGTTGCACCAACTTTATTTAACCTTAACTTAAAGAATGATCAGTGCTTTTTGTATGAAATTTGACAGATTTTTGACGTTTATTAAGGTTAAAGTAACTCAGCCTTAATCTTACAAGGTCACCTACTGGAAAAACTCCCGATGAATGAACGCCATAACTTAAAACTTAATGCGTTAGCTAATTCACAAAACTTACAAAATATTTTTCCTCCAGTTTCGACGTCCGAGGCAGGTCATTCAACAAGGCGCTCCAATGGTCGGACCCCGGCGCCTTTGGGCCTCGGGCGTACTTCGCAACTGTGGCCAGGCCTGCTGCCCTCACCCTCAGCTCCGTACAACTAGACGACGAAGGGGTCTACCGATGCCGCGTCGACTTCAAAAACTCGCCTACAAGGAACTTCCAGATTCGACTGACTGTTATAGGTAAGCATTCAATTAGGGCTACCGTATTTGCGCTCACCATTCACGCCCGTATTCACAAACGATGCTTGCTTAAGTGAAGCTCTGTGATTGGTTCGTGTGTCACCCTGTGCGTACACGCGCACTGTGACTGTGAGACCTCTAATGTTTGTGAATACGGGCGTCAGAATCGCTCTTCAGTAAAGTCCTGTCGCTCGCTAAGACAGTGGCGCCAACTGGTGAGCGTTGAAGCGGATGGTGGATTATCGAAAAATTTATACACTCAGTTCATCAGTCGAGCTTGGTTGAAAACTACTCTGTGGCAATATAATAAGGTCGCTTCTTGAACTGATGCTTCTGCGCATAAAGTAGTAATAATAAAAAAGTGCAGTTAAAATAAAGTTTGTAATTAGCTCATAGTATGGAAAAGGAGGGAAGTTAGTGCCAACCTGATAAGATTACTTCGTTGCAGTTGTAATTTCACTGAGTGAAGACATCTTAAGATAAACTTTTGCGCAGATACAAACCTCAACATCTTCATTTAGTAAAAAATAATTAGGTATTAGGTAGTACAAACACACACTAATAACGCTGAAGAAAACTTAAAAGGTACCTAATTTTGCAACTTGTGCACGTAATATTTTTAATCACATGGACATTAAAACATTTTTAAGCTCATTGTCTTACAGTAAAAGTAAGTCCATAAATCACCACTTTGTTTATAGGACGTCATGCATCGCTAAGTTTCTGGGATTCTTAGGCCCAGTTTTTTGATTCATAGTTAAAATAACTAATTGTTAAATTTTGCTACTAATGGTTAAATATTAACAAAATGTTAACGAATAGTTAAAAATGTACTAAAAGTCAAGCTAACCATTGTTCGAAAAACATTTTTTTCTGATATTTAACCACTTGTCATTTGACATCTGTCAAACTTAACTATTGGTTATTTTAACTATGAATCAAAAAACTGGCCTTAGTGGGAGTGGGGTCAATGACATCTAAGTCTGCTTCAAAAAGCATGACCTTTATCGTATCTTTTTTCATTTATATATGAATAAACATTTTTTCTTTCTTTCTTTCTTTCTTTCTTTCTTTCTATATTTTCATCTATTTATCTCAATGACATTATTAAACCAACACTATTAATTATTGTTTAATAACAGAGGATCCAATCGTATTCGTACATGTGCTGCTTATCTCTAATACCGTCTTATTGACTTACATGATCGAGAGATATCCGAAAGCGAATATTGGACTCGCTAGTGCTGCTTGGATATTACGAGCACTGAATATCGGTATAAAATGCCGCTAATCAATTGAATTGAGGTACTTTTTATGAGTCGACAAAATGCAACTTTCTCGTAGATTTTCTTTGGCGCTACAAGCTGTTGAGGTCGTTATTTTCCCTTCAGCCGTGTATGATACCAAAGTTGAATTGACCAAATTTTATCAAATTCAAAGCAACTAAAATGTGATCATCATCAGTGCATTGGAATTATAAGTTATGTCAAATACCCAATTGCTGCATTACTGTTGAGAGGTTAGCTTTTCTATTAGTTTTATCACCATCACATGAAATCACATCAAGCTTCACCTCATGTTTGTATCTCAGTTGCAAATTGAGTGCCGTTCCTACTCGTTAATGCTAACACATTATATCGATAATCGCTTATCGGACATCACTAGGCATACGGCGGCGCGCACTGTAATAGGAGGTTTATTTGATTATTATTTGACGCTATTAACGGAACCCTTCTATAATTGAGTATTTTACGATGTTATGAATACGGCTGATTATGTATCTGAGTGGTTCTTTGTAAGCTCCCATCTCTTTGCTAACAAAGACTTGGAGCATATTACCTCTCTCGCGCACAGTAATGGATTTCAATGGAGATGCATATGCGATGTAGGCCGCTTTCAAATGCTTTGTTCTGAGCATAAGAAATTTACTACCCTCATCTTCTTTGCTCACGTCTTTCGTCTTGAATGGGGTAATTCCTTTGAAAAACTCCGCTGTAGTTTTCTCGACGTTTACAATCTTATTTTTATTTTTTACTTTTAAATTTATTTGCGAAGGAATTGCTCTGTTCTGAGTTATGAAGTCGTTTAAAATTAAATTGTACATGTTTATGTTTTGTAGGAGCTTGCGAGAAGTTTACTAGGTATATTTTGTAGTACAAAACTTTCTTGGATAAAAAATAGCTAGTCCATTTTTATCTAAAAGAATAAAATCAGTAACATTTTGCAGTGAAAACTGAAATCTGATAGTGCATTTCTGCATTAAATTTATCAATACTTAAACTTTTCCGAAAGAGTCCAAAACGAAAGCAATTATTAACTGATTTATCTCAAATCCTTATTCAAAATTTATTCAACTCCATTTTCATCTAGAACGAAAGTGATATAGATTCAGCTATTAAGCCCGACAATAAAGACAAAAGCTTAACCTCTGACAGCCCGAAACTGCTTCCGAATAAATTTCACCCGGCAAACAAACGGAATCACCGCAACTGATAGCGTAGACAATTTGATCTATTCAAATCTAATTTCCTTTTAAATTTAACCTGTCTCGGCCAGATTTTATCTGTGTCATCGTCGTTTTTATCATCGGGTATTCCCGACAGTTCATAATTAAAATGTCGAGGGATGTCGGCACCCGCGGCTCCCGATCCATCGGTAATGACTAAATTGATTCTCTGTCGTCGCCTCATAAAATTTTCATTTAAGACGAAAGTTTTTGCGATCAAGCCTGTTTATAGCCGGTTTGTTTTGAGCCGAGTGTGGGCTTTGGCTGAAAGAAAAGTTTTTCAGAAACACATAACTTCATTTACTTCATTATTCGTCAAAATTAACTAAAGCAATATTTTAAATATTTAGTTTACAAAATAAGTTACATTATTTTTGTTTCTAAATAAAACCACACTCCTTATTGTACGGTGTTGTACGGTGGGGCAAGTTAGGTACACATCATAAAAAACTGTTTTATGTTTCCATAATTTGAATCTGTATTGTAAGTAAGTTATCATTTCCATCCTTTAAATATAATAAAAAGTTTATAATAGGTAATTAAATCTAAGTTTTTCTGCTACGTGCTGAAGCCACAAAACTCTGAATAAACTTGAAGGCAAATCAAAGACAAAAAAGAGTTTAAACGAACGTCTATTGTTTCCACTCTCGTGGACCGACAAATGGCCTGCTGTTTGCGAGCCCAGCGGCTGGGAAGTCCGCTGCGCACACAACTTCGTGTTTATTCGCTTTGAGACCTCATAGCACAGCCAAAGGGCTTAGCGTAATTATCTCTTGGCCATTTCGTCACTGTAGACCAAACTGGAAAACAAACTACTCAACCTAGACAGATCTTTTTGAACTTAAAGTAAACCCTGAAGATGTTTTTTTTTTTTCATTTATTATCATTTTACAAAGGAAGTTCTTAAACATATTACAATTAAATGCATTGGCATAAACCACTGAGGTTTGTTTGCAATGCTAGTACAGGCAGATTAGTAGGTAATCTAAAATTAAGAACACAAAGCTCAAGCACACCTACTTATATAACCGGATTATGACTGAGGGAAGTGTATAAATAACCTACTTACACGTGTACCTACGCAAACAATAAAGTATTATTTGGTTCCCATGATGAAAATACAATTTTCTCATTACAATTATCATCGGAAATAAAACCCTGGTAACGAAGCTTAAGACAAGTACCTTTCACTCGAAGACATTAATAGGGAAGCGCAATTTTACAAACGTTAAATAGATCACGCAATAGCCCCTACTATCAGCAATTAACTTTAGAAATATATGAAGCAAGTAGTTCCCAAGGCCACTAAGAGATGGCACTGTTTACATATTAGCTCACGGTTCGTATAGCTATAACACGTCATTTTGTTACAGTGCCACCACACCAAATGCTGCTGTATGACAAGTCCGGGGCGGACGTCTCTGGTGTAGTCGGGCCCTTAGAAGAAGGAGCTGCGTTGGTGCTTGTTTGTGAAGTAAGAGGAGGTATGTTTAACTTAAGTTTTTATTGGGTTTGATGAACCTGGCTGTCTGATTTGGGCTTTAGAAGACATGATTAAATCCAAGTCACTGTTCTGAGACATAAGTTAAATTAGACCTCTTATCGCTTATCAAAATGACAAGGCTTTACACCCACTGACAGGTTGTCTGAAACTTTTAAATATTTGTTGAGCTTGCTTCTGCTAAACTGAAACAACAACAAATCAACCTAAAAGGATTAGGGAGAGGGAAGCGATATCTACGATCTGTGGTAGATCTAATTAACTTCATAACTGTTTACTGCTGTTGAGACTGCAAAATGATATTATTCGAGTAACATCACGATCCGTTAAAAAATGTAAAAAATAATTACACTTAGGTACTAGCTTTCATTAAAAAAGGCACATTTCATTAAAAAAAGTCAAAAGTCAAAATTTCTTTATTTGTTTAGACTAATAAATAGTTCTTACAAATCGTCATAAAATATGCTCTTAAGGAGCCTCTACATGTCTCATAATCTTTTTACCCTACCAGCGCTTCGAGACCNAAAACACACGTGTTTCTTGTTACGGCAAAAACCACATGGCCGTTATTAATTGAATTTAGTTGTGTATCGCTGAGTGTTGCAATTACAGACATTCAATAAATACTTTACGAAATATGAGGGTGGTACAATTTACCCGGCGGTACAATATACCGAACTCTCCCCTATAAATAAATAGAAATAGTAGTAGTAGGTACATTCGATTCAGGAGCAGTTCACTGAATTTACCATGCATTCTTGTATGGTGTTTCATAAGAATGGGTAGGTATACAAGATTGCGTGGTATATTAAACAAGGTAGTGACGTGCTAATATCTAGACTAACATATTAAGGTACTAGTAGAAATGACTCGCATACATAAATTTGAATAACTTGGATTGACCAGTCCCCGAAAGCAGCGCCTGTTCACAGACATGACGAGTGAACCAGCCATCGCTTCACTCGACCATATTAGAGGGAATGTAACGACCCGCCTCACTACGCCTCATTATAAACTCAATCTAATATTCGGTCACGCTCGGATTTTCACTCGTTTTATAAAAACAGTAGATTTGCGAACCGTAAATGTGAAGTAATTGCCCTATGCATAATAAACTTGACAAAGAGACGAAAGTCAGAACTATTATTTCAGTTGGCTCCTATTATTTACTTGAAAGTTTTAGAAATCATGACGAAATGCTACTTTTATAGCGTTTCTCAGAAGTTTTTATCCTGGAAATAACAATTTTAAAGACAGTCGCACTCCTATTTACTGAGCTTCGTGCCAAGAAACTGGGGGTCAGTACTTGAGATATTGATCTAGTCCCAGATTTTTGATAACGGAGAAATAAAGGAAAGTTTAGAGGCAAAAGTTTAAGGTATCTTAAATTTGTTTTGAACGGTAGGTAGGTATTATAAATTTGGTCTATCGACCCCTGAGTGTTATACATTTCACTTTATAAATACAGTTTATTTCTCTCTGCCCTTGAAAGAATAATAATAATCTCCTGGGTGTCATTATGTATTGCTTAAATGTATTGAACATAACATGTTAAAGAAGAGATAAGCGTAAAAACCTTTTTTTATTCTCGCTGAAAATATTTTAAAACTCTTGTAATTTCGAGAAACACTTTAACTGCAGAAGAGCCAGAATATTTTATTTTTATTTGAACAATATCTGAATTCAATCTGGTATCTCGCAAAGGCGCCGAGTAGTGAATAGTATTTGATACGTATTGTGCAAAGGTCGGGTCATTGCTCAGAAAGTTTCATATTGCAATACGACTTTGCTATTCATAAATATTCTATTTAAAATGGGGCTGACCAGGTTTGTTCAATTGTTATCTTAATTCAATTATCTTTGAAATGTAATTTGGAAATTCTACATCGAATTTAACGAGTGGAAAACCTCTGCACTAAAACTTTTTGCCTATTCGTAGATGGTAGAGTCGGGTTGATATTTTTTATTGACTATTGAATCTATCATAGCATTATTTGGTTATTTTGCGTTTAAATAAAGCAGCATTAATTTCCGAATAATTATAATCAACAAAAAAATCAAAAGCTCACAGTAATAATAAGTCGGTTTTAAAATTATTACGTTTGGACAACAAACGGGCATTGCAGGGATTGCATTCACATATTCCCTGAACAAAAATGATATTAGCAGAATCACTCCCAATGGACTACTAATCGTAAAACCAGGGCTTACCCAACAAATAATTATAAATTCAAAGCGGTTATAAATAACTAGATTTAAATGTTGAGTGCGTGCAAATACTTTCGGCCCAACTAGTTCCGTGCTATGGTGTTTTGAAGACCCCGTAGAATAGGTACAGATTTTTGTCGGCCGATAGTTTGGTCGGCCTGTTAATGAGTATAAACATACCAAGTTACATCAATTTGGTATCAGCCAATTACGTATACAAATTAGAAGTCCATCAAACTATCGGCCGACAATAGTCTGTAGACTGCGGGGATTCATAAAGAGGCTGCCCAAACTATCAAGCGGCTAAAAGACTGTGCTCTGCGGGGAGTCTAATCTGACGGGGACAAAATTAGATTCCCTATCTGTTGAGCCTTTGGCGCTTGACGCTGGCAGCCACATAATTAAATATGTGCCCGATAAGACCAAAGGCCGAATACCGCCCTGTCCGCACCGCTGCATCATCACAATTATTGGCCACACAGGCAGCGATAATCCGACCCTGGCAGGACGCCAACAAGCCATACTGCGGACTTTTCAATGGAGCCATCGGGATGGAATATCTCTCCGAATGTTTCCATAAAAGAAATCGAGCAATAGAAAAATTGAATTGTTGCGATGACGCCGTGTTTTGATTTCGATCGGCTTACTTTCGTTCGATAACGTTTCGGTAAACAAACGTTTAGCTATGACTATATGTAGAGTGATAGCGTATTTAGGTGCGCAGGTTTGAAGACTTTATTGTTGTTATGAATAGTTAGTTCTTAATAGCCTATAAGTGATAATCGTATTGCAGTGTCATAAATCGTCTCCCATTTGATAGTTACGGACGGCTGTAGATCAAGATACCTAAACACTGGCGTCTACTTATCACCATAATAGTCCCAATTAGAGTCTGAGGTGCTATCGACTAACGACACAATATGTGTGAAACGATGTCTATTGATTATTTACAAAGATACGTCATGATTATTATTTAGGGCCGACCATGGGATGGATGGGAAAAGAATATCAGACAAAGAGGAAAGAAGATACTATTCGTTACTACAATATTAATTGATACTTTTTATATTAATTCATATATTGCCGAAAAAAATCTACCTAACGGTTACTAAAACCGTAACATTTTTAATGAACTTGAACGATGCCCTTTGGCTTTCCCACAAGCCAACAATTGAGGCAGTTATTTTTCCAGAAAGCGTCTAGATCCCATTCCTCCCTGAATGGGCGGGGATAAGTCCCTGATACGCCGCTGAAAAATAACTACGGTCACGTCCCAGACTGTCTCAGTTGTATTCTTATTTTGTTCGGGGCTCAATTAGCTTTGTTGTTATTTCCATTTGAGAATTCCACAATCATAAGGTACGAGACCTTCCGAAATTTAGTTTTATTCTCAGGTAAAATAAGGAATTGGAAAATTATTTAGTGCTGTGAATACTTACACAAATGTCTGAACTCTAAGGCTGAGTTGCACCACCTCATTTTAACAGTAGCAATAAGAATAAATGCAAAATGCACCGAAAAATTTTTAAAAATCTGTCAACAGATTTTTAAAGTTAAAGTGGTGTAATTCTGCCTTAGTTTGATTTCTAGTGAGACAAATTATGTAATATAATTATAATAATGTATAAATTACCGACTAGACTGTGTGACGCAGTGGAGGATAATGTTCTTATAAATGAATTTTAGCTAGATACTCATATTATAATTTAGTAGGTGCTTCAATAATTTAAACTAAAGATACCTACAAATATAACATTATTGTATTGTAGAGTAATGTTTATTATTTTATAACTAGCATTCCGAAATAATCATTATGTAACTTACAATTTACATAGAAAATACTACATTTGCTGTAATATCAGTTTCAAAATGTAGCCACATTTTGATAATTAAATCAAGCCCAGTGTGGTTAATTCAACCACAAATCTATTTGTTAAATTTGTATGAGTAACATAAACTCACTCACCATCTGTTTAAAGGAACAAGCATTATATTCTATTTAATGATTAAATTATAAATCTACTTTAAGCCGAACCTACACGAAGTAAATAATAAATAAGGATGCAGAAAAATGGGTGCCGTAGCTTAAAGTTATTTTGTAAATACTAGCTTCTATCTATGGATGTGTTTGTGTGCCTGGGTTGAAAAAAAGAAATCATCGTATAAAGTTAGGGTACTAATTTTAATACTTTTAGTAAGAAGTAGTCATAATAAAGTTTTCATAATAATCATGAATGATATCTTTTAAACCATATTTTATATTGCGGTATACTCGACAAAAATTGTCTATAGTACAACAAAATCAAAGCAAAGCCGCGGACAAATGCTACCTAGTCTAGTACTACTTATTAACATTCATTTTTATTCTTAGGTCGTCCAGAACCAGTGGTGACGTGGCTCATCAACGGCACTCCAGCTCCTCAGTACATCGGCGTCAAAACTGACACCCATGTGGTGGTGAACCGGCTGGAGCTTCAGCAGTTGAAGAGAGAAGACCTGAACACCACGTTCAAGTGTCGCGCTGCTAATACAGTGCTAGTGCCCCCGCAGGAGAAGATAGTGAGGCTGGAGATGAACTGTGAGTGAATTTTAATTTGTTAGTACAGACGACAGCACATCAGGCTTAACACTGGCATCTTAAGTAGTTGTGATAAGGACTATATTGCAATAAAAATGTACAGCTTGATGAGCTGTCGTCCATACTATGTTTTGTGGCTGCATACAGTCGCCTCCTTGGTCGCGAGACACTGGCCACCAAGAAAATGTATTCTTTTTTCTCGACGACCAATATCGTTACTCTTTTGTTTTTCTCTCGCTCACGACCCTCGAATTTTAACGTTTGCAGTTTGCAATTAACGCCTCTAAATAATATTTTTTTGTAAGTATTACATTATTTTGACGTTTTTTTACCGTTATTATCGAGTAAGTATTTTACTATTATCACAAAACGATAAAGCACTCAAGCATTACTGGTAGGTACCTATAAAAAATCTATATCACTTTTAACTGTTTAATTTTGTTTAGTAACTTGGCAGGATTTAATTTACGGTTACGTTCCGTGTTTTTAAAGTTGTAAATAATGATAAGTTGAAAGTGTGAGTTAACAAGATACAAACGCAACATCTTATAAAAACCTTTCTGTTATAATTTTTTTTACGAAACCTTAAAGTGTTTACATTTTATTCCACCTGAAAAACGGGTTGGAGTATAGGAAACGGGGCGCTATGGGGCACGAGACTTAGAAAAATTTTTATGAAAAAAAATTTTTTTTTGAATTTTTGGCTTTTTTTGCCGGGAATGTTTAGAATAGATAAAAATAAGACGAATCTTCAGATAACTTTTTTTTCTAGGACCAACCGTTAACTTTCAAGAGCCAATTAAAAGTGCGCTATCAACACTTAGAATAATTTCGACGAGATTTTTTTTTCTTCAATTATTCCTTGTTTTCTTGCAAGAATCGCATAGAAGACGTAAAACAAAGCACAAAAGCTTAAATGGTCTACCTCTCTAAAACAAACGCTTTCAGATTTAGAGCCAATTAAAGGTGGCTTCCGACACTTAGAATAATTTCGATCAAAAATTTTTTTCCCGAAAGTGGCGATTCTTTTGATGCCATCATGTAGGGGACCTCAAACCAAGAAAAAAAGGTCATGTACTTCATCCCCGTAGGACCAACCCCCGACCCTCTAGAAGCGATTCAAGTTTTACGGTTTTTCCAAAAAGTTCTAATTTTCGCAAATCTATGCTGCCATCGTCTAGAGGACGTCGAACCAAGGAGAAAAGGTCATGAAGCCCACCCCCGTAGGACCAACCCCCTCCCGTGTAGAGACGACTGAAGTTCTAAAGCGTGCTTGTACTAGGGTTGCCAACATTTCATCAGCGAAATATAGTATTTTCCAAAATAAGGTGTAAAAAAATATAGTACATTTAAAAAAAATATAGTATTTTATGGGAAAAACAAAAAAAATAGACAAATATACATTTTTTAATTATTTATTTTTATAAAAACTATATTTTTTTGCAGTTCTTGCGCTGTGTAACAGTTTTTTTGTATAAAATAAAAGTGTCATATGCTTTGTCACATTCAATTCTTAAATTAATATAAATCAAAAGCTTCTGTTTCTTTCTTCTCGCCACTTCGAATTCATAACCGAATATATCCTTTCTGTAAATGCCGAAGTGGCGGGAATAGAGAGCAGGAATGAAATTACTTCAAATAAATTTGGTGTCATTTTCAGTATTTTTTAAAATATGCTGCCATTTGTGGCCTGTAGTTTTGTCAGTAAAGTCACTACAGTCTTTTAATTTAGAAAAGATTTCATTCAATATCGTTATTTCAGAGTATAGGTCGTCCATTTTGATACTCAATTTTTCTTGTAAATTTAGAACTTCTAATATTGTCTCACAGTCATTAAATGAAACCTCCTTTTTTAAATTTAATTTTTGGATTTTAAATAACCAATTGCTTTCACTGAAATCAAACCATTTATTAAGATAGTCTAAACATTTATCAATGTTTTGTAACCAAAAAAATTATCTTTTTTACGTTGTTCTAACGCCGATTTTAAAATTGACATAATATGTTGTGATAAGGATAGAGACATGCAATTTTTAGTTTTACAAAAGTAATACGATAGAGAATAATACAAAACAATAAAAACCACCTGTTATAGGGGCATTTTTTGGAGAAATTGATCAAATAACAAAAAAAAAACACGAATAAAAGCAGAATTTTTTTCAAAAAGTATATTTTTTTATTATTTATTGGCATTTTCTATTTAATGTATTTTATTAGTATCGCCTGTTATTTAGCATTATTATTGTTTTTATTTTTAACAAGATATA